TCTTAGTTAAGTGTGTGTAGTGCTGCAGCCTGGGTGCCAGCCTAGATGAGATGCAAATTGATACAGCTTTTTAGATCATAAATGGCATGCACAAGAGATCCAATATGGATCAGAACTCTGCTGTGTGTATGTTGGATAGAGAGGCTTTAATCTTTGCCTACTGCAATTATAAATTGGACTGAATATGCCGTCTCTCTCTCTCTCTCTCTCTTTCTTTCTAATTAGGGGAAAACAGCTTCCCTTCCCTCCAAGGAAAAGTGATAGCACAGCAAGGATGTCAAGGTTTCCATTTCACTGGAATATTGTGGTATGTCCCACATTTCCTGCTTCCAATTGTTCTCCATTGTGCTGCAGATTGATGTGTGTTGGGTACAATGGAGATGGGACAGGTCAAACAGAATATTTGTTTTGCTTTGCTAAACTGTGGATGAAGGCACCACATAAGACATACACTAGCTGGCTGCACAGAATCCTGAGAAAACTTACCTTAATAACCAATGAACAGATTTCCACTCCTCATTGCTCCAGGAAAACCCCGGACAACATCAAGATCTGTGGATAAGGATGTGCCCATACCAAGCCCTTTCACGTTACACAATTATAACACTATGATTATATTTTAACTACCTTGTCTACATCCTATGGAATATTTGGATTTGTAGTTTCATGAGGCACTAGAGCTCTCTGGCAGAAAACTCTAAATACCCCTCCCTAAACTGCAAATCCCAAGCTTCCACAGGATGTTGCCATGGCAATTAAAGTGGAATCATAGAGCTATAACTGTTTAATATGAAAGGACCTCAGTGCTGGCCCTGACTGGCTGTTGTGCAGCGCAATACCAAACATCTATACTCAGACTAGGATATTGTCTGAAAGTGTGTAGCACTGCCATCTCCTAATTGCCAAGATCTCAAAGCAGATAGAAATTCAGCAAACCAGCCAGTTTCCTTCTCTTGCTTTTAAGCAGAATTGGTTAAAACAAGACTCTTGCCTTCTTGAATTTGCAATGTAATCCAAATTTTAGCAAATGTCCATGTGAGACCAGATTGCTTTAGCCTTCTGGATAGTGTTAGCTAATCGAATCCTACACATGATGCAGGGTGGGGAAGAGAGAAATGCTGAAATTACATGACAAATCCATTGGTATATAATATGATAGTGGTAACAAGTGACAATCCTCTCTCTTCTATGCATACATACAAAAGAACCTCGTAGGAGTATGACAAATGGCACAGCACAAGCCTGAACTATATTATATTGAGAAGGTGACAAAATTGGCAGGCAGCTCACCCCTGTTAAAAGCTTGGGGGAGGCTCTGATTTGGCAAAAAGCAATGCTGCCTCAAATAACCTTGTCTCCAACTACAAGTCCCATCACCCATAGCCTGCACAGCAGGCAATGGGGGTTGTAGTTGAATACATTGTAGAGGGCATCTGTTAGGGAGGACTGCTTGAGATACGCAGTGTTTCAAAAAGGAACGCTCAAAAATGTTCACAGTCAGTGGCATCATTTTCCTTCTAAATCTTACTGTGGAATAGCTGCAGCATCATGACATTGACTGCAATCATTCAGACATTTATGAAGGAAATGAGAAAAGTGGCACCAGTTCCTAACTGATTTTGCTTTGGCAACATTGCTTGACAGGTTTAGGTTTATTTGGGCCAGCTCTACTATTAGGCAGACTGAGGTGGCTGGCTTAGGCAGTGAATTTTGAGTGTCATGAAATGAAAGACACCTGCTATTTAATGTATTATTCAGGTCTTATTGCAAATCTCTGGGATTGTCTGGCTCAGGTGCCCCAATAACTTTGTTAGTTTGGGTTCTGTGTGCCTTGTCTTGGGTCCAGTGTGTATGTGTGTGTGTTATTTGCAGATCAATTTTAGCCAGTAAAATAACACAGGCAGGCCCTGCTCAAGAAGGCAAGGTAAACATTTCAGACAACACATGCCTTCTGCTGCCCAGGTTCCAATAAAAGATTCTTTGGCTGGAATTCTGTTGGTGTCTTCTGCATGCATACACTCCCCTCCAAAATTGGCTAGACATTTTTCTTTCTGATGCAGAACATCCTTTCAAGGTCATGGAAGTGGAGTTGTACATGGAAATATAGATGCAGATGTGCATTTGGTTACACATCTAGAAGTGCAATGGCATAGTTCCTGAGTGAGGTAATCATCGTGTAATTCAGTGAATGTAAAATTATACTCCATCTGCTAGATATAAGATCTCAGCTGTACATGTATAGTTAAAGAAAAGCAAGAAAGAAAACAGCTGTTTGCATGGTCCCCTGGTATGGTTTATCCTCTTTCTCTTCAGTCTTCCTTTGCTCCCTCCCTCCTTTTCTTGGGTCCCAGGGGCAACCCTCATTGGGATCTGTGGCCATTTGACTACCAGAAGTTGCCTTGAAATTCTCTGGGATAATCTTTCTAACCTGATGCCTTCCAAATATGACTATACTACATTCCCATCACCCTGACCACTGGACATTCTGATTGGGGAAGATGGGAGTTGCAATCCAACACACCATCAAGGAGTCTAGTTGGGGAAGGCTGCTCTAGGGCACACTATTCCTAAACTGCATGGCGAAACTAGCATGCCATAGGCATGCCCTGGAGGACATTTACTCCAGTCAGCCAGGACTAGGGAGTTTATCACATGGGGGACAATTGGAAGTATAAACGGTGGTTAACCTGAAAAAACCACGCAATCGAGATTAAAATGCGATTAAAACGCGATTAACATTTTCACACACAAGAGCCATTATTCTGGGAATAATCAGGGAGTAACCAGGCAATAAACACCAAAAAAGTCATTCATGGGAAAATCCTGTGAATGATTTTGTTGCTGTATGGCACTTTGGTTGCTTTTCATTGCGACGTCAGGTGAAAACCATTAGCGCAATTGTAATTATCACAGGATATTTCTGCATTTGTGCTTTGAATGCTATGTTGTGTGAAAATGTTAATCGCAAATGTGCGATTTTGATGAGTTAATCACCATTTATACTCCCAATTCTCCCCGTGTGACAAACTCTTAGGTTGGCAACTGTCAGCCAGAGGATTTTTTCTTCAGCTGCCCCAAGATTGTGGAATGACCTGCTGGAAGAGATCCAATAGCTGAATACGGTGTTTGAATTTGAAACAGCATTGAAGACCAGTCTCTTTTGGCAGGCTTATCCAGATGATTTTTAAAGTGTGAATTTAGATGCTGAATTTAAAATGTGGACTGTTCTAAAATGTGTATGCCTTATTTGAGCCAGTGTGGTGTAGTGGTTTGAATAGCTTGTCTATGACTCTGGAGTAGAAGATATTCAAAAGATATTCCCCATTGACAAGGTTGTCAAGTCGCGTCTGACTGTAGGGGCTGGTGCTCATCTCCATTACTAAGCCAAAGACCCATCATTGTCAGAGACTACTCTGTGATCATGTGGTCTGCATGATTGCACAGAACGCTGTTTACCTTCCCACCGAAGTGGTACCTATTTATCTACTTGCATTTTCATGTTTTGAACTGTTAGGTTGGCAGAAGCTGGGACTAGTGATGAGAGCTCACCCCATCATGCAGCACCCAGGCCTTAAATGGCCAGCCTGCCAACCTTGCAATCAACAGAGTCAGCATCTTAACAACTTGAGCCACTCCATCTCTGGAGACCAGGGTTCAAATTCCCTGCTCAGCCATGGAAACCCACTGGGTGACCTTAGGCAAGTGACCTCAGCCTCAGAGGAAGGCAAAGGCAAAGTCGCTCTGAACAAATCTTGCCAAGAAAATTCTGTGATGGATTCATCTTAAGGCACACAACAACGTCTTGTTTGTCCTTTTAAACTGTTGCATGTTTCATATTGTGTGTTTTAATTGATGTTGTTCGTTGATTTGTTGTACAGATGTTCCATGAGGAGGTGGGTAAGAAATGTTGTTGTTGTTGTTGTTGTCCATTTCAGTTTCCCAAAAAAGTGCACCATTCAAAAATCTTGCACTTTCTATGGTTGCAATTTTGGACCACCGGGAAATCGATTCTGAGGTCTCTTGAATAACATAACAGTTGAGAAAAGTGTCCCTGCCCATCTCTATAAGTCTCCACCATTTCCTTCCAAAAGCCGTGCAAGCATAATATTTGTTGCATGCCAGGCACTTGTCTATGTGTGCTCTGAAGAAGAACAGTGTGGGGTTTTACCGGCCTTACATGGTTGCATCTTGTACGTGGAGACTATTCCCTACGTTTGCACCACAACATGTTGCAGCAGAATGGGACACCGTCCGACAAAACCCCTTCCCGCAAGTCTGCCTGCTGCACGGACCTTTAGGGATTTTTTCCTGCATCCCTCATTGTGCAGTTTGGATGTCATGCATTTTCCCTGTTGCCTTGGTAACAAACCTTGCTTCCCGAGCAGCCTGTGTAAGAATCCCACACAGGGACCATTCGTGTCAGATCTTTTCACAAGCGTTTTTGTGCAAGGGCCTTCGGAGTGGTATCTGTTGAGCTGTGACTCCTTTTACTCCACCACCGCCTCCTTTGGTGGAGGAACCTTGCTCCTTTTTTGTTTTATCAAGCCTGTTCCCAGAGGGAAAGATTTGTTTTCTCTCTGCATGCATTTAAAATAAGAACATTACAGATAACGCCTCGGTTCCATAGCCATTTTGATTCCAGTTTGGAAATGAAACACGGAAATTAGCCGGCAACGGGGGGGGGGGGGGGGGGGGGGAAGGGAAGAAGAGCTCTGAAGGCAGACAAGAATGTAAACGACTTTGACTAAAATGTTCTAACACGGAGGACACCTCTCTCCTGTTAACCAGACCCTGCGGTATTTCTGGAAAATTAGCCATAGGAGAAAACCCGTGCTGGTAATAGCTTTTGTGCCGTAAGAAATGAGACAGAAGTGCTTTGTGCTGCACACAGACACAGTGTTGTCAGCAGAATAGAGAAGCTTGATCATTCAAGAGCACAGCTTTGCTCCTGCCTACACGCTTTATAGGAAATGAACCTATGTGGGAAGAGGTGGACAACAACAGCTGTGGCTCAGTGGTAGAGCACATGTTTCTGGCGCAAAAGGTCTTGGGTTCAATTCCCAGCATCTCAAGATGAGGCTGAGAAAGACGCTTGATTCGCTGAAATTCTGAAGAGCTGCCCCTGTCACAAACTGGCACCGTCTGGGTGTATTGCATTGCACTTTCCATCATCCCCAGACAGCATAACCCAAGGCTGAAGGTGATTCTAGTCCAATACATCTGAGAAGGGGCAACAAGTTGGGGAAGGGTGGTGCAGAGAATACTGATTTGTTGTTATTATTGTTTTGACATTTGTTACATTTATATTTTATATCCCCCCTCCCACTGAATGAAAGGCAATATAGGTTCTCCTCTCCTCTGCTTTATCCCAAGAACAACTCTTGTAAGTAGGTCTAAGACAGAATGACTGAGCTAAAGTCACATAGGCTGCTTCCGACAGCAGAAATAATCCAGTTTGACTCTACTTTAATTGCCATGGTTCAGTGCTATGGAATATGGGGATTTGTAGCTAGTTGTGGCACCAGAGCTCTCTGACAGAGAAGGCTAAATGTCTCATAAA